GAAACTGTTGCATGATAGCCCACCCACCCGTGCAACGTGGTGTCTAATTTATTAGATTCTGGTTTTGCCCCGATACTGCGCCTGCTTTAATAACAATGAAAACATTGCAAAATTTAAATAGAAATAAATAGGTTATAAGAATATGATAACTGAACAATCATGTATAAAGAATAAAAGGGAAGGATTAAGAGCAATTTCACTGCATATAGTTTGATTTTAAGAAAAATGTGAATGTTTTGGTAAATGAAGCTAATGTTTCTTCTGGATCCCAGAACTCAAACCTTATTTATAAATCTGTAATTCAGCTTCTCTTTGGTTTAAATGGGCTTATTGGGCTCACTTGGAAAACAGGCATTTTTATTGTTTTCTTTATTTTCCACATTGTTTTCATTTTTGTAGAAGAGGGGATTGAACTCAGGCCCTTGCACTTGCCAGGCAAGCGCTTATTCTACTGAGCCATCTCCCTGGCCCCATAAGTTATCATCACATTCTTTTCTTTCTTTTTTTTTTCTATTTTGTTATTTTCTTCAGAGAAAATATTTTCCAATTTATGTGTCAAACAGCTAACTGGACTTAAATTACAACATTTTATAAATGTCGGGGCTATCTGTGCAGTGGTTTCTCTAAAGTTGTATATAAGTTTTTACTGTGAAATAACAATGTATAAAATATTACTTTATGCCATAATAAAGATATTAGTGTTTTAAAAAATAGCTTTAGACTGTTACATTTTATGCTTATCAAGCTGTTCAATTTATAAACTAAGGTTCTTGTCTAAGTTGTCTTAGGAACTCCTTTTAATCTGGCACCTCACCCTTGGAGTTGCCTGACAGTTTAATGGGCATACACAGGCTTTAATTCTTAGTATTGTAAGGATGAAAAGACAGCATCTTTCTACCTTGACAACTCAGCCCATCAGACGTTCTTCGAAACCCAACTCCACAGTGGATCACACAGCGATAGGATCCGATCGTGTTGTCACAGTCCTGGCCTGTGTGGCAGCTGTGTCCTCCCAAAGCACACTCATCAATATCTGCAGCAGAACGAGTTGTTAAATTAGTGAGTAGGGGAAACGCCAACCTAAAGAGCTAATGAGGATAAGAAACTGGGATAAGAAAACAATGGATGACACTGTGTCAATATAAAAAGGAGCCCATTTTTTGCTTAAGTCATTTCAGGTGGGTTAAACAGCCAATAGGCTCACCACAGCAGGGTGTGGCAACTTCATAAACTGACCAGTCAATTAGACCACTTACTAAGTAGAAGCCCTTAGGATCCTGACTGAGTTGCTCTAAGCATGCCAGCTCAGAGTGCTCCTGTGAAGGCAATGCCCGAGCAGCATTCCCTTTTTTTCCTTTCTCAACAATGAAGCCCTTCCTGCTTATTGCGGAGGTATGGGCAGAGACAACAGAAACGGAGATGCTTGGTGGGCCATGCTTTCTCTGGGTTGAACACTGCCTAACCCACGCTTGAATGTATCTACTGGATTTAACTCAGTGGCTACCTTGACAAGTTCTTCCATCAGCAGCGATGGTGAGGCCTGTGGGACAGGAGCAATAATAGGTGCCCATGGCATTATGGCACGTATGGGAGCAGGGATTGCCTGCTGTACACTCATCTTCATCTGAAAGAGGAGACAGGGCAGCCCAATCAGTGCAGGAATCTCTCCTTTCTTAGAGTTATTAAAGCCAGTGAACATACTTGCATATGAATCAAATAAAATAAGAGAATGCTCTAAGTGCTACAAAATAAAATCACTAAGTAAAAAAAAAAAGAATTTAAGGTCTTGAAGTTATCTGATAGTGAATAGATATTTACATTTTATTCTACAGCAAGAATGATAGCTAAAATCATCTACATGAGTACATTTTACCTGGTTTAACTCATTCTTCAGAGTATTCCTAGGAGACAAGCATTTTTGTTACTATCCTCATTTTGCATGCAAAACTGGAGAACGAATAGGTTAAATAAACTGCCCAACGTCACAGAGGTTATTTTTGATAGAACTGGTATTTGAACCTGGGCAGTCTAAAAATCATCTTTGAGAGCTGTTAGACTATATTCCGTTGTGTATCAATGAAAGAAAAGCACAGCATAAAATTTGAGCTCCCCAAGCCATTTGCTCAGCTATTCATTTGCTTGCGATTCTTCTGCCACTGGTACATGGTGGGACAAAGTTGGTTGAGCCCTTAGCCACATGTCCAAAAGCCCTGTCCTGGCCTATGATTGAGCAGTTCTGCAACTTGGTGACTTCATGTTGGACCTCTGTCCTCTCATATTAGTGCAATCAAGCCACCAGAAGGGGTTCAGTGTTGTCTCTCTGCTCACTCTGCCTCTGTAGTTGGTCACTGCCCCTGATACACTTGACCATGGTCAAACAGAGAAAGCATAGACTTTGTAATACAACTTCACTTCAATTCTAGTTTTGCCACCTTCTCTCAAGTTACCCTAAATAGTTTATTTAACCTCTACATCTCAATATCCTCAGCCGTCAAGTGAGACACTAATGGGAATACTCTGATAATTAATTGCTTAACAAAATGGCAATTAATGACCATTAAATGACATCCTTTAATGAAAATTTTATGAAAATGTTTTATATATTTATATTTCTACTTACCAGCACAAAAGGGTCCAACAGAGTCTAAGGCAAAGCCGGAGGGGCACTGGTTACTGCGCTCTCCTACCACAGAGAAGAAAGCAGGTAATTTACTTGGTAGTGTATCCGTCTCTAGCTTCTTTCTAGTCTACCCTTTCCAGGGAAGATGAGCCAAAGGCAAAACACATGATGCAAATATGCAGTTGGTGGAAAACAGCAAGGATGGAAAACTTTTCTTGTTCCTCAACCAAGAAGTAAATGAACCACAGTCCAGAGATTGTTGGCAAGCTGCCACTGGAAATGGATTTTCCGTCTAAGTTGTTTACATGAGTCAAAAGAAATTTAAATTATTCAGTGATAAGTAAAAGAATCCAAGATAACTGTGTATGGCAGGCATGGCCATAGGCAACATTCTAGTCTTCCAGCCATTGCTAGATTATTTTATTCAAGAAGAAAGAATAATGTTTTCAAGCAATTTTAATTTGTACCAGTGGAAAGTAGAAACTCAAGGGCAAAACCTGTTCTTTCTGTGACTGTTCTCCATTTGCAGCTTTGCGCATTTGGGTCAAAGTACTCCATGTGTGATGGGCTTCCCTTTCTATGCAATCTTTTATTTATTTATTTTTATTTTTTTTCCAGTTTTATTGATAAACAGATAGCAATGAGACAGTTTCAAATCAAATCGGAAGTACAGTTTCAACAAATAATACACTGCATATATTCTTCTTAGTGGTTAATTGCTGTACAAGATGAGGACTTGTGATCCTATTTACAAACACCATTAGAACAAATCATTCTATTCATTAAGAGAATGCAACTATATATCTATCCTAACCACTATGAATACACAGATACAAAACGGACATTCATTGGTATACCCCATTTTTTCTAAGTTCTGTTATTGAATATTATAGGTGTGTAAACTCAGCAAAATATTCTAAAAGAGTCCAGTAGCCCATAATAGCATTGGGTCTTCTGTTTAACTGGCAATGTCAGAAATTATTGACCTGAGTCCCTGCAATCTTTTAAAAGTAAGAGGAGACAGGCACATTTTGACAGAACAGATTTAACTTAGATGCCAGTGAAAAGTATGAGAACATACGAGTAAGAAATTACTTCTCTGAGAGTATGCAAATCTTCATGCATGTGCAGGGGAGTAGAAATAGGGCAGATGGAAGGAAAATGTCTAGGGCACATGCAAATGATCACTGAAGGTTATTGAGGCTTAATTTCATTTAAACCTCACAACTTCCATATGGTATCCACTTTTCAGGTGAGGAATTTGAGGCAAGGTATATAACTTTCCTAAGATTAAGGAGCTAAGTCATACAGGAGCAAGGTTTAGATGAAAGTCTGTTAGACTTTCAACCACTATTATTCCCTCTAGAACAAATCCTTATTAGAACAACTGAGTCAGCTGGCAATCATATTTTTTTTCATTTATTCACATTTTCCTTAATATAACCAGTACTTTGTGTGACATGGTACTGGGGACACAACTGTGGAAAAAGCCATGCCACATCAACCTAGTAAGTTATTATATGACGGTAGTTCAGATTTTGGGTTTAACTAGAAGACAAATTTTTCTATTAAGTGGCACTGAGGAAGTTTTTAGGAGACACTCTGATTGTCATGATGATAGTTAAGAATATTAAAATGTAGTGATTGGAGGAGGTTCTGGCAGGATTCACAACACTGCCATGTGCAGATTGTACTGAAAGATCTATTCTTTGTGCTGAAAGATTTCCCTGGCAATTAAAGCAAAGCTGTAATTACATGAGCTTTGAACCTATATATCACATGTTAAATGTTTTTCACATAATTTAAATATATAATGGATTTTCTAGGAATACAACTGTGATATATATTGATATTCAGAAGATTATTCCGAGTTGCTTAAAGTACCCCACATAAACCCTCAACCATAGTAGGAATCTGTGTAAGTTCAGCTTTATGACTAATCTCTGTTCAAAGATTTTTATATTAAAATGCATACTAGCACATTATGAATTTCCTCTATTTTATCCTTTATATTAGCTTCATAGTTATTTTGAATTATATTATGATTTGTATTTCAGGAGAATGGGAGGAAATACAAAATACATGTTTACGTTTTAATAATGTGTGACAGTAATATAAACTTTAAAAAGCATAAAACAAAATTCCCTATAACCTGGTCACTCAAAACAAACTACATCTGTTGACTTTTTATTGTTTTTCCTTCAAATCATTTCTATAAATATATATGTACTTTAAAAATTAATTTAAAAGCTTTGGATAGGATAGTGTGTGGCTTTGGGTTCAATCCCTAACACTACAAATAAGTAAAGAAAGAAAAATTTAGTGTGGACTAATAATTTGCAAGCTTTACTAATCATAAAAATCATTTAGAAAACTCATTAAAAACACACATCCTTTAGCTGGGCGTGATGGTGCACTCATGTAATCCCAGAATCTTGGGAAGGCGAGGCAGGAGGGTCATAAATTCAATTCTAGTTTGGAAAGCTTAGCAACTGAGTGAGGACTATGTCTTAAAATTAACGCAAAATTTATAAAGGGCTGGAAATGCAACTCAGTTAATAGGATTTGGATTCAATCTCCAGTACACAAACAAACCCTCTGATCCCAGTTCTATCAGACTTGTTAGGCAAGTAGAATGGGCACTCAGGTCTGGATCCCATTGTATGCTGTTTTTCAGTTGTTAAGCTGCATGGACACGCTCCTTTTCACCTGTGAAAGAGTGCTAGTGTCTAAAACATTGTTGGCGCTTACAGATACTAAATGAAAGAGTTAGATGTTTCTTAAAAATTATTTCAGAGCTTATTTAAAACACAGAGGTTAAAAAGCTACAACTCTTGTTGCATAGGTCCTGCTTTACCTTGGTCTTAACCATCCAGTA